ACATTGCTCCGATATCCAGTAGCCAAAACAACTGAATCAATTTCCAGCTTTTCACCGTTGACAAGCTCCACCATGCCACAAGAAAATCTCTTTATCCCGGGGACTACTTTTATTTCTCTGGATCTGATCTTTTCAAGTGCACCAATGTCTAAAACAGGGGTTTTTCCTTGAGTGTTCTTTAGCTCCAATGGACCGACTGATGGCCGTTTTAGACCGTATTTCTCAATTTTTCCAAGAATCATCCATGTTAAGAACAGCAAAATCTTGTCAACCAACCATACTGGTAGCCACTTTAGCATTAACATTGCCAGTTCAAAACTAGACTTGCCAAGTATTTCTCGTGGCAATACATGAACCTGATGAACAAAAAACATGAGATTAGTCACATCAGAATCTAAACATTCAAATTCATTTCTTTCAGAAAAATAAAAGAATGAACTGGACATAATATGTCTATTAAACTTACCGAGCTACGAACAACCATTGAAGGCTTGGCATCATGGTTGCAAAGATCAAGAGAGACTTCCATGCCAGAATTTCCACATCCTACGACAAGAACATTCTTCCCTCGGAAATTCTCGCCGGATTTATAATCACAAGCATGAATAACTTCACCACCAAAGTTTTGCAAACCTTCAATTTCCGGCATAACACGTTCTGCATTTTCCCCTGTTGCCACCACTAGCCATTGACATATATACTCAACCTCAGACGACCTAGTGGAGCCACTAGTCGAAACAGTCTTAACTCTCCACAAACGGCAAGCCTCATCATATTTAGCCGACTCTACACATTCATTGAATTGTGGGTTGATGTTGAAGTGGCTAGCATATGATTCCAGGTAATCTATGAACTGTTTCTTGTTGGGGTACTCAGGATAGTGCTGAGGAAATGGAAAGTTAGGCAGTTGGCAGAATTGTTTAGGGAGATGAAGTTTTAGGCGATCGTAAGTGTACTTTTGCCACAAAGATGCAATGCAGTCAGCTCTGTCTAATAGCACACAAGGCACACCTTGTTCTTTTAGGCCAGCTGCCACGGCCAGGCCGGACGGACCAGCTCCGACTATGACAGGACCATTCACCCAAACACATCTGGGTGCTAAGAAACCTTGATCTGAAAACGGAAAGCTAAACATTTTTCTTCTTGTTTTTCTTCAAAAGATATGTAAATTTGGTGTTAAGGGTATAATGGAAGAGATTCAGAATAGTAGAAGAAGTTGGAGAAATTTGTAAGAGAAGACAGTTAATTTGTTTGACGAGACGTAAGGGGGATGAAGTGGCCTTAAATAGAAGAGGGGCCATGAATCAAGAAAAGTGCATGTGACCACTTAATGAGTTTAAATGTGTTTGAGCCACTTTCTTTTTGAAAAATATATTTTAGAGTAATAGATTGATGAAGAATGTGTTGTTAAAAATGAAAAAAAATTATTTGTATTTAATATTATTTTAATAAAAAAAATATATGGTTGAAAAGAAGAGAGAGAAAAATGTATTTTAGAAAAAATAGAAATTAAAGAATACCCCCCATAAAATTCTCATTATCATAACCAAAATTAGTCAGTCTACCTTGTAGTATTATTTTAAGAGCTCTATTATCATTTTTTCAGATTATTAATTCTTACTTGATTATAATAAGATTATAATTGAAGTGGGGTTTCACTTAATTTAGGTTACTTTTTAATTAATTTATAGCTTTCATAATAATTATAGTTTTGTTTAATGGAAGATATAATAATAATAATAATAATAATAATAATAATAATAATAATAATAATAATAATAATAATAATAATAATAATAATATCAAGGGGGTTTCATGTTTCTTAATTTTCTTTGTAAACAATATTAGAAAAAATATGATGTATGCAAGTTGATTCGGGAAATCATAACCCATTCTAACTCAGTCAATCATTATTCGCCAATACAAATTTGATTATCATTTGATGACCATTTTTTCTACTTGCCCTATATAAAAATATTTGAATGAGAATATATGAGTTAACAAACATTTTTGAGATTAATATAATGGGTGAAAGACTGAGTTTCTGAGGCTAAGAATTGTGTTGAAAATGGAAATGATAATTACTTGGGCATTGGTTGGAATTACATTTAAACTCTCTAACTTCTGATTGTTAAATAATTTATAATTATTTAGTGGGATGATAAACTTTAAAATAAAATAATTATAAAATCGAGTAGCAGCAACTCTTTTTAGCTTCTTTAATATCATCATTAAAATTCAATTTTTTAACCCCAGTGAATAATAAATTAATCCTTTGCTGTCCTAAGTATGTCGGTATTCAACAATAATAAATTCTCATATATCATTCATGTTGCAAACATTTTTTTTTACCATCTCTTTTTCTTTTCTTTTTCTAGGCCATTGACACATTAAATTTATGTTCTAACCTAAATCTTCTAAATTTTAAGATCTAATATATGTTAATTTTATTAGACTTCCATTTTGAAAAGTTAACACTGTTAAGAGGATTGGCAAAGCTTTTATATATTGGTTTGTATTTTAATATTTAATCGTGTAAGATTTATCATTTAATATGTCCACGCAAGATAGAAGCTTATTTGAATAAACCTATCCTGAAATTAGCGTTTTTTTTTTAATTTTAATCTAATCAAATTACTCATTGGATCTTAATTGTCTCTGAGATCATGTTAAGACCCAATATTCCATCTTAAAATGTCATCTTTATTAAGAATTAGCTCAAATTCTTATATATAGATATATATTTCAATATTTAACCAATGTGAAATTTGTCCTTTAATATTTTTTTTCCTTTTAAAATGACGAATATATTATCTTAAGTAAATATTTAATATTAATGCAGATTGGTATAAAATTGAAAGTAATTTTTACAATAATAATACGAGCACGAGAGGATATCATTGTCATCAATGTTCATTTAAAGTATCATATACAGACACACAATAAAGTATTTTTTTACTAAGAATCTATTTGACGTGAATTTTTTTTTATTAGAATGAATAAGTGAAAAAAAATGGAAAAATATATGATTAAAAAGTAGGGAAAATATTATTAATTCATGTGTAAATAATTTTATTAAGAGAATATGATTGAAAGTGAGTAGAAAACACGAGTTTTAAAGAACGGGTATTAACTATTGAAAGGAGGTTAAATGCTTAAATGTTAATTTTAAAACATAAAGAACTTTACCAAACATTTAATAGGTAACTGATTATTCTTTGAATTCATCTAAAACTAATTTTTTAAGTCTAAACAATACCCAACAAAGCCTTAACACAGTTAAAGAGAATTAGAATTATGGAGCAACTAATCTGGTACATCATCTTCTTCAGATTCTATTGGGCCACGAAAGCTTGATAGAAAATTATGTATAGTTCAATGTATATAGAGGTTGATGCGTACGTGGCAACTGAGAAAGCTGGCTTCGATAAATAATGTATAGTGGGAGTAAGGAGGGGGTTGGTCTTGTCCGAGTCCGTTACCAGCAACAAATACAAGTCCTTACTATTTTGGTAATATTTAGATTTCAAAAACATTTACGAAAGTTTCGACCAAAATATGGAAAATTTTGATTATGAATTGCAGTTAAATTTCGAGAATTCTTTTGCAAGTTTCATTTAAAAATTAACGGGAGATTTGATTCTTATTATGAATTGCACTTAAATTTTGAGAACTCTACTGCAAACTTCATTTAAAAATTAATGGTAGATTTGATCCTTATTTCATAAATGTTTCTTATTACCATTCACGTATATATCTTATTCTTTCTAATAATATGCCACCCTTCCAAATTCCATCAATCTCTTAGAAGAATTCGAATCTCTACTGATTTTGAGTACGAGGCAAAGTATGTAAGCATGCATTTATATTTTGAATTTTTGAATATTTATTTATTTTTACTATTAAAATTTGTAAACGAAATTTTTTTAGATTGATTTTATTTTCATTAACTTCAAATAGTCTCTTAAATTAAATATTTCATTTTATAATTTTATATGACACGAAAATATGACATTTCATGTTTTCTCTTGTCCTATTTTCTTCATAAATTACATTTCACGTACAGTATTGATATTTATTCATACTGTGGATGATGACATTAAATGATAAGGTCTATAAATTGAATTTCATATTCATGTTTGTTCTTGTCCTCATTGCCTGCCAAATTAAATGAGAATCATTTTCCATGGGAATAAATACCATTCTTTTAGTTTCTTTTTCGTGTCGTGTCACATTTTCAATTTTTCATTTCCATCCAACCTAAATTATATTTAAGAGAAAACCCTTGTAAACATTTTTGTCATTGGATACCGTGATTATTAGAATGTAGGTTCTTGTAACAACATTAACAGCTTTAAGATGAAAAGGATCTGAGGACGGTGCCATTTAGAGTTTATTGAGAGGGGAGCATGTGAATCAAACCTTGGTTTTAATGGAGTCTCTCCTTTTCATGAAAGATTGCTAGCAATGGCTTTGGATTTTGTACTTTAATCTGGCACTCGCAATTCAATATTTTAAACAAGCCCTCCAATTCATGCATGGAACAAAAAAGGAATTGAAAAGGTTAATTTTTTGAAATAAAAAGAAAATGAAAGAAATGGAACAGTTGAAATATAAGAAAAATAATATTAAAAAATATACGATTATTTACTCCATGCACTATTCATATGACACGTAGCTAGGGACGTCTTCTATTTTGATTTCTTTGCTCACAATTCCCATTAGAGATTAAGCTCTAATTCCAGCCGCGCAAGTAATTTATTGAGCAGAACAAACTTAGAAACACTCCAATCAGAGCAGGCTAAGGTCCAATTTATTAAAAATATGCATGCTTTAGGCTTCGAAAACAAAGAATTTTCATGTAAAAATTAAAATTAAAATGAGAAATATATAGCCCTCTCGAATTACTTAATCTTAAATCAATTAATTTAATATGATACTTTAGTAGACTAAGATTCTAAATTCAAGATTATAATATTTTCACTAGAATAAGAAAGAACTCAAAGAAGATTACAGTGTTGATCTCTCGTTTCGATCTGTATTACCCAAAAAACAATCCTTTAACAAAAGATTAGAGTCACTTAGTGCATGTACAAAAAGATAAGCTATTAAATACAAAATATATCTAAAAATTTTGTGATAAGTCGAGTATTACTCTTATTCTCCTGCTCACGGTGGAATGCTTATCTTATCCACTTTTGAGAGAACTTTACTTGATGAGAACCTTAAGTAATGTTCTCGTGCCACATCAACAAGTGAGCAATCTTATTTTGCACATTGTGAACATAAGAACAATTTTTAGTCGAGTATATAACATGATTAAATTCTAATGAATTTTCAACACCTATTGATATATATTTCCCAGCTACCTAGCCTTGTTGAGAGCTTACTACTTGAGGACCAGGTTGTATTATTTATTCCCTGCTTGACAATCATTATTTGGAAAAAAAAAAA